ATTTTTGAAAAATAATACAAATCTGAAGACTTTTTAAGTAGAATGTTTAATGATTTGATTCAACAAGAGAAAGGGGACTGGCTTATTATCAATATCAAGGATTCAACAGAATTAAAGGTCATTTACTGGTTTTCATTGAGGAATCATATTTACACAAGGAGTTCTGTAAAGAAGATTTTCAAATGTGTCAATTATGGAAATGTAGAAGAGATAAAGAAATTAAAGATGCTAGTATAAAAGAAAAGAGGCCTCTTTTGAATCAGCCTCAAGAGAAGATTCTGCTAATTTGTTCCAAGATTTATGAAGGGTGAAGTCTGAGTTTTGTCATACTTTGTCTGTCTGTAACAGTTTACTCTTTTATTTCATACTGTCCTCTGACTTGCTCTGACTCCCTTTCTGCTCTGTCATTCTAGAGTGCATGAATGGCTAGGGTACCAAGGACAGAAGTGATGTAATTATCTGGGCACAAAATGCAACTATTTAGGCAATACTGCATTTATAAGAATATATTATACCAATTCTCTATTATTCTGGAGCTATGATTTTAAAATTTGTCGTGGTATATAGACATGCAGTAGGTTTTATTCATTTAAATTGGTTCTTTAAATTTCAGGCTCAAAGCATATCACTGTGCTTCAGCATAAAGGTGCTGAAGTGTTTTGAAGACAAAACAGTCATATTTAAACATTGTGCTAATAAAAACTGAATTTCACTTCTCTTTCTGAATGATTTTAGATTATTTTATTTAAATGAATTCCTTATCTGAACCCAGCTAAGTCGGTATTTAAGCATCATTCTATTTGCCTATTTCTTTTGATGATTCTCTTTCAAGGTACATTCATTTCATTCAAGGAACAAGGAGCAGATGCAAAGAAGCAGGCACTGTGGAAAGCCAGTGGCTAAAATTAGATCATTGACAGCATCTACTTATATGGTCAGGGTGAAACTTCAGTGTCTAACATTTTCTCCTGAAAGGAGACACTTCGACATGGTAATGCCAGTATCTGTAATTAAATTACATCCATGTTATGTCATTGGTAGTAAAACTGTCCCAAAATAGACAGTGAAACCATATACGTTTTCTGCCAAAAGAAGGGCTGAAGACAAAATTAATAAACTTGTTTTCATAAGATTATTTGACTTGTACCTTCTTAATTAGGTTTGTTCAAGAGAAGCTATAAAAGCAAAGAGGAAGTACATGTGATGTGGCTGACACAAGGGCAGGGAAAGGGGTGTGGACTTTCTACCCCATTCTGTGATCAATTGTATATAATCCAAACCATCAGTGACGAACACAGTCTATAATCTGTGAGTGTTGTATCTTTTTCAGGTCTTCATACGTGCTTGCGCATTCAGGTGTAAACAGGAAGCTCATTAAAGCCCTTCGCTGGTGTTTTACTCCCTCAGAAAATCCACAGCATCTGTGAATCTCTCAGTATAGTAAGTACATACATAAATGTGTACACACCACAGCATGTGCATTGTGTTAGCAACAGCATGTACGTACTACATCATCACTCATTCTAGACATGCACTGTATCCCTTCTTTCCAAACGTCTGCATCACATAGGACACCTTGGAGATAGACCCAGTCCTGAAGCAAAGCACCGCTGTCCGGTCTGTTTGTTCACCCCCGCTGCTGATCAGGACCGTCTATCACTATGCAGAGCAAACATCCACACTGGAACACACTGCTCAGGGAAGCCCTCTTGCTTCTCCTGGCCCAGAACCACCAGCCCACTCTTCCTAATCAAGCTTCGGAGGATGTCCATGTCCCGAGTCACACTGCTGTCAGATAGGTCGAAGATACAGCCTTCCCGTGCCACATTGTCCTTCAGGATGATGACGCCATTTTCTTTCAGGCCACTTCGGCACCGGGAAAGAAACGCAAGGAGGTCCTTATCAGTCAGGTACCCTGCAAGGTGGGGCCAGATTGGTAGAAAAATAAGATGAAACAGGGTGGGAGGAGGGAGGTGAGTCAGAGAGAAAGAGCCAAGAGGCAAGAGACTGTCACATCTATACATCGTTTACTAGCTTGAATTGTTTCAGTTACAAGCGATTTTGAAAACCTAGATAAAAATAAAAAGATATAAATCCTCTCTTAGGGATTTTAATTCCTTGCCTTTATGTCATGCTGCCTGAACAATGTACCTAATAGGCACAAGACACTATTGCCCCTCCTCTGAGGAGCCATTTCTTGTCCTTATAGACCATAGTCACTTTGTGTGTGTGTGTGTGTGTGTGTGTGTGTGTGTGTGTGTGTTACCACAATATAATTCGTTGCTGTTTCATTTCCTAGGGATTTAATTCTCAGAACGTTTAGTTCTATCAATAAATAATGAGGATTAACCATTTATGGGGTCAGCTTTTAAGTATTTTCAGCTATTTACATTTCTGCAAAGATGTGGGTTGCTCCCAAGTACTTGGTCTAGCCCCAGGCATAAGAATTGCCAGGCTTGTACAGCAATGTTAGGAGAAATTTAGAGGACCAAGAAATCACATGACAGCTAGACACAGAAGCTAACAAAAAGTGCTGTAAGTGCACTATAGCTCCATCTCCCCCTTGTGTCCTTGTTAGTCCCAAGTGTCATCTTTCCTAGCTGGGAAATGGTGAAGGGCAAAAGTTGTGCCATGTAACACTGACCTGAAACCCACTGAATCCAGATGACATCATATCTTCCTAAGGGAGGCGTGAATTCCTGTAGGCTGTAACAGTGGTAGCTTTCAACTTTGTCCTCGATAACCTGCAAGTAGTTCTGGGCTTCAAGGAGGAAGGATTCCATCATATCCACCAGTTCAACGCTGCTGAAAACAGGCAACAAGACGTGCTTGCTGACCCTTCCTATTCCAGAGCCGCAGTCCAAGGCACAGCCAGTTCCTGCTCTCCCTGGCCCCTGCAGAAAGATACCTTGTGGACCATTTCAAGTACACAGACTCACCCTGAGTCTTGGGCATCACAATTACTTCTTCAAATCAAGACATCTTACAGTATAAGATGTTTCATTTGTGTGTATGATTCAATATGCTAGTACAAATGAATATAGACAATTATCTGTGATTATATCACAGATATTTAATTTTTTTCCAAAAAGTCAAATATTTATAGTTCTACTTCGTTTTGTTTTGTTTTGTTTTGTTTTTCCGAAACAGGGTTTCTCTGTGTCGCTTTGGAACCTCCTGGCACTCGCTCTGGAGACCAGGCTGGCCTCGAACTCACAGAGATCTGCCTGCCTCTGCCTCCCGAGTGCTGGGATTAAAGGTGTGCACCACCGATGCCCGGCTTTTGTTTGTTTGTTTTTACCAGAGTTATCTCTTTAAAAAAGAATTACAAGCTATTATATTAGCTTCCAGTACAGGGTAACTCTCTCCAAGAAATGAGCCATGGAGAGCTCTATGAAGTCATAGCTTTGATGACCATGGCAGCTATATGGACATGTACCATATGTTATTACTTTGAAAAAATGGGGAGGTGAGGTGGAGTCCATAATGAGTTTTTATGAGTTTCAAAGTTACTCTAAACATTCACTTCTTATAAACATTCAAATTCATATTGGGATGATTGAAATTTTAGTTTTTCTAAGCTGGGTTTGGAGGTGCTCAGAATCTCCTAATCCTTTTCTTTGGGTAGTAACATCTGAGACCTTAGCTGAGGAACAGCCATTATCCCACTATGTGTCTCACCAAGAGTGTGTTGTAAATACAGTTTGGCAACACACAAAACACCCATCTGGATAAAGGGTAGTTTCTTCAGTTTCTTTGTCTTCTTTAATGCATAAAGTGTGTGTGTGTGTGTGTGTGTGTGTGTGTGTGTGTGTGTGTAATTTTGTGCCAGAAACTACATGTTTACTGAAAGAAAAAATTTAAGTAAGGCCATGCATTGGCTAGGATGGGAAGGTGGTGCATTTTGAGAAATTAGCTAATACAAACATTCTCAAATTTGCTCCTATACAATTAAAGAAAGGCTTTGGATTCATGAAGACAGACTCAGCTGGTCTAAATTATTTAGTTGTGATTGGGATGGTAATAGGTTCGTGCTAGAAATTACAGTAATAGGATACTTGGAATTACCAATCAAGATCTTACGGAGAGAGCCTACTCTTGATTTCTCAGGAACTAAGGATGAAAAATACTGTTGGCTAAAGATCAAAGGTAAACATGAGCAGGAGGAAACATCAAAAAAGTTGCCTTGCAGTCCATCCAAAAGGCTTCCCTTATGCTAGAAAGGTACAAAGACACAAACACAAAAAGGAAACAATGATAATGTTCTTTTAAAATGTAGTAAGGGTCATAATATATGGGTATTTATATGTCACATGCTCTTTATAGCCACAATAATTATAATAATCAGAAAAACTTCTATAAGAGTATAGTGATGGGGCTGGAGAGATGGCTCAGGGGTTAAGAGCACTGATTGCTCTTCCAGAGGTCCTGAGTTCAATTTCCAGCACCCATGTGGTGGCTCACAACCATTTATAATGAGATCTGGTGCCCTCTTCTGTCCTGCAGATACAGGAAGACAGAACACTCATATATGTGTGTGTGTGTATGCATGCATGCATATATACATATATTTTTTTAAGATGATGATGATGATTCCTATTTTGGAGATGAGAAAACTCTAGTTTGTGGTATTAAATAGCTAATGACAGAACTAGAATTTGAGCAGGAACCATCTGAGCCAAACCCAATCTACATTAAGTATAACACCTAGAGCGCTAACTCTGACTCCTGTGGTAAGAGCTACCTAATGTGGTATTCAAAGGCTTCATTCAGCAGGAAAGGGCTGTAAAATTGATTGGTGATTTCTGCCTTGAGTTTAAGAAGGAAAGCAGCAGGACATATGCTTGCCACCCCTGCCTTCACTATGGTGTCTCCCTTGTTTAAGTATTACATCATACATATAACTGATTTAATGTCTCACAAAAGTCATAATCTTCTATGTAAAATCAGAAACACAAAAGGAGAAAATATGGAGTGATCATTGTAAGCTACAAACAATGACTGGTAGAAATAGGTGTGTTCAATAAGAGATTCTCATTAAAACTCTTTCCTGGAATTGCTGGGCTCCCAGCAGCTCTGTTAGTCATGCCAATATCCTTAGGCATAGCAAGTGGCTTTAGAAGTAGAACACAGGACAAGAGAGCTAAGAGACCTTAAGACTGTAATTGCTGGACACTTTTATTATTCGAGGATACTATGAAGCCGGTAAAGGAAGGGATCTCACTCTCTCTGCCTTCCCATTATTTACCAAGGAAGCCCTTCGAAGATGTCAGCAAAAGCCTAGAGTTTTTAAGTAAGTGATATTAATGCCTCTGCATTTTAGACAAAAACTGAGGTCAAGGAGGTGTTCCAATTAGAACTCTCTGAAACTATGGTTCTCAATCTTCCTAATGCTTTGATCTTTAACAGAGTTCCTCATGTTGTGATGACCCCCAATCATAAAATTTTTGTTGCTACTTCATAGCTATAATTTTGCTACTGTTACGAATCATAATGTATATATCTGATGTGCAGGATATCTGATATGTGACCCCCAAAAGGGTCGTGACCCATTGGTTGAGAACCACAGCCCTTGGAGATTCTCATCCTTCTCAACTATGATTCATCACTTCAGGTGTCTGAGGGTTGGCTACAGCTTTCCTTGAAACCCACTCGGGAGCCAGAGGCGGGTGGATCTCTGTGAGTTCGAGGCCAGCCTGGTCTCCAGAGCAAGTGCCAGGATAGGCTCCAAAGCTACAAAGAGAAACCCTGTCTCGAAAAACCAAAAAAAAAAAAAAAAAAAAACAAAAACAGACGCAAATCGCAAATGTTCCTTTCAATCAGGTGCTGTGGACCTCCAGCCTCTCTGACCACTGTCTAGTAGCTCTGTTCTGCTTCATCCAATGTGGTTGGCGTTGCCTCCCCTGACCTGGCACTGCTGTTCTTTTTCTGTCTGTCGCTCACAGGCAGTACCTCTGAGAAGGGATATTTAAAGGTTGCTCTCAGAATCTTAGACACTACGGCTGGAGAAGCTGTGACTGGATTGAAATCGGATGCCCTTGACAAATGTGAATACAGTCTCGCACAATGTGTGATTTCAAAACAAGATGGTTTTTATTTTCAGTTTCATTCACTGTGTTATCTTCATGTCTATAGCCTTGTACAAAATAATAATAAAAAAAAACTATTAGTTATGCTGTTCCTAGTCTTATCATGCCTAATTGCTTTATTTTGCATAGCATTATCTTAAACCTGTTCAGTTAAGTTGAAAACTAAAATCTAAGTGCTTCATAGCACTGTACAAAAGCCATGAAATACAAATCAAATCTCATTAGTTTAGTCATCCAATCTCTGACAAATATCCAAGAAATGAATGCATTAAATACCAAATTCCTTTTTGTGTCCTATAACTTCACCCTATTAGTTATCAGCTGTGCTGGCATCATCTTGGTACCATTTGTGGATTTCCAAAGCAAATACATTTGCAACTAGATTAAACAGCTTTTCCCATTGTCCCTTGTCACTGAGTGTTGAAAGGAAACCAAAGCTTTAAATTAAACAGTTCGCCTTTTCCCGGTTGACACAAGAATAAATCATGTCAGATGCTTACATCCCCTAAGTCCTTGTTTCTTGACCTAGATACTAATTTAGCAGATTATTGAGGTCAAAGCACTAAAATATCATCCCTTTAAACAGACTGTTTGTTCTTAGTTCAAGGTCACAGCTTTACAATGAGTCTTGTCTACTAAGAAGGGCTCTTGTGTTTGTTTGAAAGGAGCAGTCTGCCTCTTTTCCAACATAAATATGCAAGCATACAGTGTTTCCTTTCCCAGGTCCGTGGGCGTGCCTCTGGGCTGTCTGACCAGAATCCCTGTGGTCAGCTTGGCATTCCTCGTGGAGTGACAAGGCAGCTGGATTACTAGCTAAGCTTCTGAAATGCCTTGGGATCAAAGTCGGCCTCACCATGAGGCAAGCAGGAAGGACACTTAGGACAGAAAGGAGGAGAGTTGAAGTCTACAGTCTGTGAGAAAAAAAATAGCGATTTTTCTACTTCATGAAACAAATGGAAAACAAAATATGTCATGGTTGAGAGCAAGGAATTTGGCATAAGACTAACCTGGCTGGACTGATGCCTCATGTGTGTGAGCTTTTCATCCCTTTAAGCCTCAGTTTCCACAACTATAAAAAAGAACTGACAACAATTCTTACCTTTAAGAATTCTAAAGGGTAAACAGACAGTGTTCCTAAAAGACTTGGCGAAGTAACTGACCTACTTAGAACAAGAATGCCATGAAATCAGCCATCAAGACTACTTTAGAAGTATTATAGATTACTCTGACATGCAAACACCCATGGCCATAAACCCTACACTTTTCAAAACTTTGTGGCTGCGAGTTATATCAGATAGACATTGGGTTAGACATCTCATCCTAGCCACATGCCTCTGCTGCCAGAGTGGTGACACAGATACTGGGTGCTGCAGTGGCAGGGGGGTGGGGGATCTTAGAATGAATGGAACATCACTTTAACATCAATATAGTCTTCACACTATCCGTGTGAGTAGACTGACAGCTCAACCCTAAAGCTAAACATTGATAATGCTTCCTTTATCAAAATAAAGCACTATCCACATTTTAATCAAATGGCATTGTATTGAATCTAACAAATTTTGCTTGCAATTAGGAGTTTTATCTTAATAAGGTCCATGGCAACTTTATTGTGTGGGTTAAGACAGCTTGAAAACTAAAGTTGCATGATATGTGATGAATATATGATAAGATATCATGGTATTGTTAGTAAATAGCCACACACCAGATTTATTTCATGCTCATTTGTTCACTAAAGCAAGTGTCCAACGTCTCTAGTTTTTTTTTTTTTTTTTTTTTTTTTTTTTTTTTTTTTTTTTTTTTTTTTTTTTTTATCTTTGCTTTCTTCCACTGGAGATTCTGTTGTTATTCCTTAGCCATGGAACAGAAAACTGAAACTAACTACATGGAAATAACATCCTCAGGGGTGTTTATGCATTAGGTAGAAGAACTGTGTTGCTTTAGAAAGCTCAGAACTTTGGCTCCTATATTTTACTGTCTTATCTCTATATGACCTGAAAATTTCTTCCACAAAAAGAAGAGGTTTAACCAAATCCAGAGTAACAAAAGAATCTCATTCGTTCAGGTAACAAGCTGAACTATGTATAAAAATCATAAAGGGATTCTATCATTGTCTTTTTTAAAAAAATTGAATATAAGCTTGCATCTTCTAGTATATTTCATTTGTATTTTAGAGACTTTGTAAATTAATCTGAAATGCATGAGGCATGAATTCTCAGCAGTCTTCTAGGTTTCAACTGTTTACCTCTGATTCTCTTAAGATGTTTCTGTGACGTAGTATAGTCATGTCTGTACCACTAGTTCATCTTCCCCTGAAGCATGCAAGATTAGCTGGTGCCACAGTGGTGAAGTGCCAAGTGGGATAAGCCGAGGGTTTGTTGAACTCCATCCCTCTGAACATCTTAAAACAGGCTTTCCGGATGACCACTCAGCTGAGTCACATGGCTTTAACAACACAGAAACATGTGAGCTCAGTTTGCAAGGACTTTGCCTGTTCATCAAGCATCAGTCAGAAAACTTACCCCAACAAATTTCCTAAGAAATTCACGAGAGGCCTGGATGTCTGGATTGGATAGTTCAATAAAATTTCCCATCATGCCTTCTTCTGTGGCTGGTACCTCTTGGTAGAAAAGCTTAGCTCTGGCATAGAACTGCATCTCACCGTCAATGACTTGGCTTGTTAAAGCATACAGTTTTACTGCAAAGAAAATATTATCAACTTATTAAAATGTATAGGATGTAACAAACTCATTTTTTAACAATGAAATGGCTTTCTCAAAACTCCATGAATTTGTGCTGTAGAGAAAAGCCTCTGATTTGACATTTTTAGACAAGGTCTCACTATATAGATATGGCTGTCCTAGAACTTGCTCTGTAGATCAGGCTGGGCTCAAACTCACAAAGATCATCCTGCCTCTGCCTCCCAAATGCTGGGATTAAAGGCGTGCATGGACAATGGAATTAAATCAGAAAATATGGGTTTGAGTTCAAGTCCAGAGGCTTGGATTCTATATAACATTGAGAAAACTATTTAAACTCTATGATCTTCAAGGATCTTATCTATAAATCACAATTGCTTGACATTTTCCTAATTGAATATCTAGTTCAATAAACATGACTTACCATCTTATTAAAAAAGCCTTACAGTATTTTGTACAGTAGAAAAATAACCTCATCACATCATGCTAAGTGATATCTTTTAGCTCAGTGCTTTATGGAAATGTCCTCATTCATTCTTGCTGTTAACTCTTATTTTCCACTTCTTTTAAAACAATATATATATATATATATATATATATATATATATATTCAGTATGTATGTATGTATGTCAAATACAATACTTATGTATGAAATTCTCAAAACATTTTGAAAATTAAAATTTAAGAATGGCTTTGTCCATAATCCCTCCCAACAAATGAATTAGAAAGCTAAAAATTTCTGAAGTTGTATAGCTACAGTAAGAAAAGTATTAAAGAAACAATAGAAGAAAAATTCCAGACCTGAAAGAGTCTGTAAGATCTAACCAGGGCTAGGAAAGATGGACTTCTTAAAATTGTAAATTTACATTTATGTTTAAAATTTTTCAAAATAGAAAGAATGACAAAAGGACTCTAATGCCATTTGGAAGGAGAAAAAAATGATTGATCTTCAAACCAAGTTACCAGAATTAGAAAATAAAAATACAGGCCTCAAGATTATTTGAATTTTAGATAAATAATAATTTATTAGTATACATGTCTAAATTATTACACTCTACGTGGGACATCCCTATAAACAAAAATTATTTTGTTGGTAATATTAGATTCAGTGTAACTGGCATCTTTTTACAAAATAAAGAGCTGAAGTTAAGCAAAAATAACAAATTTCTTGAGAAACAATTGAAAGTACTGGTTTAATGGCATTAGTATTTTGAGGAAATTTTATTTTGAAACTAAATTTAATATTCAATTAACTGAGATAGTGTTTACTTTCTATTGATTAACTTTTCAGAAGTTTCTTGAAGCTTAACCCAGCAAGGGTTAAAATCTGCAAATGACAACCACTTATCATATCTGAAATAAAACTGTTCAAACTGCAAGAGAAATTTTAGGGTGGAATTCAGCTAATAGACAAAGTAGCCAAGAATCCAGGATGTACTGGTAAAATTCCAAAAACAACATGTTTTGGTTCACAGTAACCAGAAATAAAATATGGTTAAAAGCTCTATGTAAAATATACAATGACTCAAACTTACTGTTATGAGATGAGAACCAAAATATGACATAATTTTAAGTAGAAGGAGTCAAAGGGAAAATAGTATTTAGCTTTAACTAGGAACATTTACTTTTCCTTGGGCAGTTCCTAAGATTGTGGCATGAAAGCAGGGTTCTGCTTGATTCTACATACTACATGTTTGCAAATTTTTATCCTAAAGGTTAAAAATGTGATAGATAGCATATGACCAGAACTGTGCTCCCATTGTGAAGTCAAGACTTTGCAACCTGAAGACACTGGAACTAATGTTTGGGTCACAAATGACCATGGGTTTTCTGAAAGGGTTACAAGAGTCAGTTTCTTAATAGATTATTTTCTGGAGACCAATATAATATTATACACAGTCTCCTCAATGTTTATTAACTACTATAATATACATGCATGTTAGTTTTAAAGTGCAAAGCTTTTAAAGCTGCTTATGTATAGACTCTTTTTGTCAACTTATACTCAATTGGCTACTGAATGAGACAATACAAAATGTGAAGCAGGAACTCATGCCCCGAAGTAATAGGGACCACTGACCAACCTCTTCTCTTCCCACACTTCCCTAAGGAAAGTCTTGCTAAAAACCGAGTGGATCAACAGAGATGGGAAATTCAGGCATCACCATCCCAACATTATGATGGTTCCAAGTTATTCTGCAGTCCTCAAAACATCAAGCTAGAAAAATTACAATTCATACCTTCTCAGGATTGGCTTCTATTCTGGGATTGTAGATGAACCATGGCTCAAAAGCTCAATCTGTTTCTTTCCTTCTCCCTCTCCCACTCTCCCTCACTCTCCCTCTCCCCCTCCGTCTCCCTCCCTCTCTCCTCAACCTCTTTTTCTCTGTGTTAAGGAGAAATTGTGCTACACTACATGGATGGAGAACAGAGGACAACTTGCAGAAGTCAGTTCTCTCCTTCCAACACATGAGTCCCAGAAATCAAACTCAGTCATTGGTTTGGCAACTATTACCTTTAATCACCTACCTAACCGTCTCACTGACCCCCTTCAATGTTCTTGATCCAGGTATAGCAGCAAATTAGCCACATTCATCATCACCTGCTTAAGTCACCAAGTATATATTAAAAGCCTTAATCTAGAAATGGGCATGGTTCATTGCATCAGCTACATTTTGGTCTCAAGTCAATGCCGAACTCAGCAGGTTTCAGCTTCACTAGGTGGGCTTTTATTGTTAGGGCCTTGAGTTCTCATTTTCACCTAACTGACAAATGAATTTCTCAAAGAAAGATATATGAGGTGTCAATGGCCAATCCCAGGTTCTGCCTCTCGATGGCTCCTGCATAGTTCATGTTGGCTTAAACAAGGCAACTAGTCGCTTTTTTACACATCTTTTTACAGTGCAAATTCATGTAGTGGTATTTTTCAGGGAATTGCAATGTCTCTTTAAATTTTGAGATGGTTTGCAACGAAGAATAGGACAAAAATGGCACTTATTTCTTGACCCATATTACCTGTAATTGATCAAAGCTATATACATGTAGGGAACATATCTCAATAACAATGTAAGATAAATGTTAGATGTACCTTCTATAGAAAGAAGAAGAGAAACAAAGAAGTAAGTGTTATTAAATTGTCCAGGTCAAATGACACAACTGAGAGTTCATCTCAAATCTATGCAAATTTAACACCCACTGCTTCTTCATCTTGAATTTTGCCCCAAAACTGTATCAGGTAAGTAAAAAAAAGAAAAAGAAGAAAGAAAGGATAATTTTTTAATTTCTTAGAAAGAAAAATGCCCTTGTCACATTTGAACTATGAAATTAACAAATATTTTAAATTTTTAGATAAAATATTTTGTGAATTCTTCAAGAATTTTGTATACTGTATTTTGATGATTTTTTTTTAGATGTGTGATGAAGTGTGTGGCAATGCCAGTCACATGGATGAAGTTGATTACAGTTAAGAGCTGTATGGTGAGTTTGTTGTAGAAGTTCTAAGTGTTTTCATGAAAATGTTTTTGGTAACTCTCACTTTTAACTGTGGCTGTGAGTAATAGGTAGCCACTCCTCTTAACTTCCTCCTCAGAGACTGATTCTTCTAGAAGAGATCACTGACAGAAGAGGAATAGTACCTATTGAGTATTTCTTACATGCTTGGAATTGTCCTAAGCATTTTATATTACTTCTTTTAATCCTGTAAGCTTAGTTCTTAAGATTTTAGAGGACTGGAGTTAGAGTGGTCACTTCTTAGATGAGTACTGGAAGAATAGGACTTAGTATAGCTTCACTTAGTAAAAGACACATATGAGCAGGTCACAAGACAAGACCATTTGAACAGTTTTTGACCTGATAAATCACCCCAAACCATTTTTAAATAACAATGTCCAGGAGCTATAGACTCCAAGTAAAACAACTGACAGATAGTCACTGATCTCCATGTATTGAAAAGGGTGATTATACTAGAATATTACTGATGATTAACTTATGTGAACATCTCCAACTGGGCTATGTACAGGTCCCTTTAAGAACTGACAAACTTCTCAACAGAACACTTTCAAATGGCAGAAAGACACTTAAGGAAATGTTCAACATCCTTAGTCATCAGGGAAACACAAATCAAAACCACTCTGAAATTCCATCTTACGATCAGAATGGCTAAGATCAAAAACACCAATGACAGCTTATGCTGGAGACAGAAAGGGGAATACTCCTTCATTTCTGGTGGGAGTGCAAACTTGTACAGCTGCTGTGGAAACCAATATGGTGATTTCTCAGAAAATTAAGCATCAATCTACCTCAAGACCTTGCAATACCACTTTTGGGCATATACCCAAAGGAGGCACATTCACACCACAAGGACATTTGTTCAACTATGTTCATAACAACATCATTTGTAATAGCCTGATCTTGGAAACAGCCTAGATACCCCTCAACTGAAGAATGGATATAGAAAATGTGGTATATTTACACAATGGAGTACTACTCAGCGGTAAGAAACAATGACATCCTAAAATTTACAGGCAAATGTACAGGACTAGAAAAAACATCCTGAGTGAGGTAACCCCAAACCAGAAAGACAAATATAGTATGTTCTCACTCATAAGCGGATCCCAGACATAAAGCAAAAGATACCCAGCCTACAATCCACAACCCCAGAGAAGCTTGATCCCTCTTCCAGAAACAGATGGAAACAGATACAGAAATCCACAACTAACCAGTGGGTCAAGCTCCTGGAGTACAACTGAAGTGAAGGAGGAGTGATAATATGAACAAAGGAGTCAAGACCATGATGGGGAAACCCACAGAAATAGCTGACCCAAGCTGATGAAAGATCACTGACTCAGGTCTGACAAATGGGGTTGGGGGGAACCTGCATAAGACTGAACTAGACTCCCTTAATATAGGTGACAATGGTGTGACTGGGACAATATATGAGGCCACTGGCAGTGGGGCCAAGATCTAACTCTAATGCACAGACTGACTTCATGGAGCCCATTCTTTATGGAGAGGTACCATGCTCAGCCTAGACACGGGGGTGTGGGGGTGGAGAGGTGCCTTGGTCCTGCTTCAAGGAGATGATGGGACAGACTTAGTAGACTTCCTAGAGGAGGCCTTACCCCCCTCCATTGAGCAGATGGTAAGAGGAGGGAGCCGGGGGAGTGAGAAGAGAGGAGGGAGGAAGAACTTGGATTGGAATATAAAAAATAAATTAATAAAAAAAAAGAACTGACAAACTAAAGACTTACAGTGACGTCTTTTCCTATACTAGTTCCTATTTGTTCATAAACAGCCACCTTTAGAAAACCTTTCAACCCAAATCTCCAAATAAACTGATGTCACTGAATTATATGAACCTACTCTGTGGCCCACCCATCTGGATCTCCACGGAGAACCAATTCTCCTCATAGGCCATGCTTTCCACTGTATACATAATAAATAAATAAAATCTTTAAAAAATTTAAATTGTAGCTTAAGCTATCTCAGATAGGCATGTATATTACATGAGTTATGCTAATCACTAGACACATTGCTATTACAATAATATTATGTAATTCACTAGCTTATAATATTTTGGACATGGTTGCCCACTTTAGCTGAGTGTCCATGCACATTGGTAGATAGGATATGAAACAGTTCTAAAGTAGCTTGGGACTTTAATCCTGCCCTGTCATATAGCACTGCAAAACATTGGCAAACCTTCCAGTTCCTCTGTGCCTAGTTTCACAAATGTAAGTTATAGGAAATAAGAACATGCCCAATAGGATGCTGTGACAATGAACTGAGGGGTTTTGTTTTTTTAGTTAGTTAGTTTGTTTGTTTGTTTGTTTTAGAAATTTAGACATTAAATGTCCTGAGCTTGCTTCCTCTTTTCCTGAAAATCTCCTAAGGAAAGCAGCAGTGCTTCATCTTCCATTGTCTACTTTGTTCTCTGTGTCTCAACAGTCTCATACGTCTCCGAAGCAAGTCGGGGATGTTAGAGGTTAAGTTCTTCACTATGAATCTTAACCATGGAATGAGCTGGAATAAGACTGACTACTTTACAGGGATGATTATGGGGGACGGGGAAAGGAAAGAAGGAATCAAAGACTGGTTAGCCTGGTGCTTTCCATAATTACCCCTAAACAACTAACCCTCTGTGTAGACCCTACAGGCGGGGTTGCCTAACATTTTAAAAAGAGAGACTTTATTTTCATTTTTATGAAGTCTTAAAGTCATCAAGAACAAGGGAAGCCAAACACTAAAACACTTCTGTGGAGTTGGGGAGGCAGCATCTCTCTGCTGCCTGTTTTATTTCCAACCTAAAAGGCATAATATCCGCTACAGCCTGAAAACTCAAGTATTAAGTTTATCGTCTTTGGTAATTCCTGCTCTAAAAAACGTCAAATGGTGACTCTAGAAGAGGCCTGGCACAGAGGAAGTGAAGGAAAACCTAACACCCACTGAAAATTGGTGTTTGGTTTTTTTTTTTTTGTTTTTTTTTTTTGTTTTTTTTTTACATGTATACTGCATGTAATTCTTGTTCCCTTGCTACAGCTTTGGGGAAACTGAGGCTCATAGGCATTGATAACTTGCAAGAAGATAACTTCTCTGGTTTGTGTAATATAGCACCATAATACTTATTCAAATGTAATTTTGTAACTGTTTCTTGCACTAAATATGACCGGCTTGATCAGAAAATAAGTGTATAATATAATCATCTCTAAACATCAGTGTTTGTTTCTCTCAAAGCAGAAGTACTTTTTGACTATATACACACTTACACCTCCCATAATCTTAAATTTCTGGTCAATGAACTCTAAAAAATTAATATATGCTATTTTGGGCTAATGTATTTAAAGCTACCAGACAGGCCTTTAGCTATGTTTCTTTTTTCCTTTGCTTTGAAGAATAGTATTATCTGGCTGATAGAGACTGTATCATCCTGGATCCCTATATGCCTAGAAGGAATATAGCTGTCTTTATCATAATAAATAATACATGTTAAAATGATAACAATTTTTCTGATGTGTTCTTGAATTCAGTTTGCCTGTATTTTATTGAGTATTTTTGCATCTGTGTTCATGAGGAAAATTGGTCTGTATTTCTCTTTCTTAGCTGTGTCTTTGTGTGGTTTGGGTATCACAATGGAGTACTACTCAGCGGTAAGAAACAATGACATCCTAAAATTCACAGGCAAATGTACAGGACTAGAAAAAAACATCCTGAGCGAGGTAACCCCAAACCAGAAAGACAAATATAGCATGTACTCACTCATAAGTGGATACCAGACATAAAGCAAAAGATACCCAGCCTACAATCCACAACCCCAGAGAAGCTTGAACCCTCTTCCAGAAACAGATGGAAACAGATACAGAAATCCACAACTAACCAATGGGTCAAGCTCCTGGAGTACAACTGAAGTGAAGGAGGAGTGATAATATGAACAAAGGAGTCAAGACCATGATGGGGAAACCTACAGAAATAGCTGACCCAAGCTGATGAAAGGTCACTGACTCAGGACTGACAAATGGGGTTGGGGGGAACCTGCATAAGACTGAACTAGACTCCCTCAATATAGGTGACAGTGGTGTGACTGGGACGATATAAGGCCACTGGTAGTGGGTCCAAGATCTAACACTAATGTACAAACTTATTTAGTGGAGCCCATTCTATATGGAGAAATACCATGCTCAGCCTAGATACAGGGGTGTGGAGGTGGAGAGGTGCCTTGGTCCTGCTTCAAGGAGATGATGGGACAGGCTTAGTAGACTTCCTAAGGGAAGCCTTACCCTCTCCTTGGAGCAGATGGTAGGAGTCGGGAGTCGGGGAGTGGGAGGAGAAGAGGGGGAACTGGGATTGGAATGTAAAAAATAAATTAATAAAAATGGAAAAAGTGGTAGCAAGAATAGATGCATGGGTGCAACCAATGATATCTCACAATTCATTTGTTACTGCAGCAGAGCCTACCCACACCAGCTAATATTATGCTCAATTATTGTTCCCATGAACATTTGTGGATGCAATCTTTCTGATTCTCAGGGGAAACTAATGTCCATGCTGAAATCTCAGGATAGAGAAAACAACAAGTGTTCATTTATGGAAACTAATGATAAATCCCACTTTGGCCTGGATCAGACTGCTTATAATCCAGGTGCATGGGCTAAAGGAACCTTCTCAGTTTCAGACGCCATTGGTGAGGCAAGAACTGAGACTGAAAACAGAACACTAGCTCTAAACCTGAACAGAAAAGTTGCATTTTTCCCTTCAGTGTACTTTGGGCTTCCATGGACTATTTTGTTAAAATCATCAATTTTGCAAAGCATTAATTAACCATTCAAAATGGATAAAATAAAAACATGTGAAGTCAGAATGATTACATTAGCTTAAGGAGAGACCAAGTATAATGTAGGCTACGTGATTCAAACCAATTTTCATCCAATTTTGAGCAAAAACTGTTTTATCCTTAACTGGTTTACATTTACATTCAGAAACGAGTCCCTTTCTGTCTGGTAACCATTTTAAAGGCTGCTGGTCATCTGCCCACTAGTGACTTTCTTCTCAGTTGCTATAATGGATAGCTTTCTCCAGCCTAAATCACACAGTGTTGCTGAAGATTTTAATCCAAAGACAGTCCCCCAGAAGCCAGTGACTGGGCCATGTCTGGAGCCACCAGGGTTCCAAAAGATCACCCCAGTTTTTCATTTAGGATAAAGTAGATGTATATGTTTAACTGGAAGAAGCCTCCAACTTGCTTTGGTGTAATTCACTCTAAATTAGACGCCACATTTCTGAATTTTCTTTTCACTTGAAAACTAAAATTGGAGGGAAGAGGTAAGAAAGTGGAGGGGAACGTAGTGGCATTTACCCAGAGCGCAGCTATAAGAATCAAAGTTTTATATGAGAAGCATTTTCACATGAAAGCCATATGAATATAAGATGAAAGTATCTGTAGGTCTAGAATTAAAGAAACCTCAGAAGTCAGTTTATGAAATGAGACTTTGATAGCTGCTAACACCCAGTTTCTTGAATGTAACACTAAGAACTATGTAGTTCTTTCCACAGCAGGAAACTGGGGCCTAATCAAGTACACAATGGGGCTTTCAGACAACCTTAAGCAAACAGACCAAAGCTGAGAAACAGCATTCTTGTTTTCACTGGGAGAAATATAAATCAAAGAGGCAGGAAGGGGGCACTTCACTCTTTAATCAGAAGTCGCTTCCTCTTGAGTGCTGGTTAGAGCCCTGAAGTCTGTTACCTTTACACAGGTTAAGACAATGCTGCCAGCATACCCGATAAACTTTCTATTGCTCTCTTGTCCCATTTCCCTGAAACTAGAGGAAAAACAAAAATGAAGGCAGATTATTATCCCTTGATATCCTAAGTTTTCTTATGATACTTGCGACTTAGAGAGGCCAGAGCAGATAGTACACACACACACACACACACACACACACACACACACACACACCACCCATACAGATGCATGCCTGGCCCAAGCATACTTTGATTCCTTATCATGCAATCTCTGTTTTCAATTTTTGCTTAACATACTACTACATTAATATTCTTAACTCTGAGTTACCTAATTTTCCAACTTGAGCAATTAAAAATCACAGCACTGGCAACTCAAGAGTTGAGTTTCTCTAAGCCTCATAGTCACCCAGCTGACACCTAGAGCAGCAAGTCACTCTGCCTGAGGGGGCATGAAAGAAAGCCCAGAATAGAGTTCAGTCTCACCAGGCAGCACTTGCTCTTCCGCCTCTCCGTAAAAGAATGTCATTCAAGCCTTTCACCCACTGATACTGGTCCGGATTCTCCTTAGCTGAAAAGTACCCTTGTTCTAACCTCTCTCCTAGGCACCTGTAACCTCATACAACCCATCCCAGTCCCTTCTTTCCCTCGTCTAGCAATTCTGACTCACTTACCCAGGGGGATTTTTTCCAGCAGGTAGAGATAGCTCTGAAAGAAGTCATTGCGAATGGCTTTGTGAAGGATAAAGGACATGCTATGTCGACAGAGTTCATCATCGGTCTTCTGCCAGCGGGATCTAAAGGCAAAATGGGCTCCCAGGTGGGCCATGGTGAAAGGGGGGATAATAATTACTCCTATAGAGAAAGGAAGCTTGTCTGGCTGTTCCTTTGAATTACTCTTCTCTTCCTCAAAGAACTTGAGACTGTCATTTTAAACCAGTCCCAGGTCCATCTATATCAGGACAGGCTGTCATGGGTTGTAGGGGGAGGGATAACAGACATGGGGAGGTCAGGCTCTTGGCACATCCACCCACCATCTGATTGCTTGCGCGACACCACTCCAAGCCAGCAGGTGCTAAAAGTAAAGATGGAAATAGGCTGAGCGAGAGCCTGCTTCATCCAGGGAAAAGCACGCGTCCCTCCTTTATGGACTGATTCAAACAGGCTCAAGCACTGCCTGCTAACACCCTGAACACTTGCTTTAATTTGACTCTGAAATTGGAATAGCCTAATTTCCATTTCAAAGAGTTGTGAATATTTTGCAGGAGATCCTATTCCCTGATTTCCATTGCTCCTGGAACACTGAATCCTCAAATTACAAGGGACCTTCAAAGTCATCTTAGCCACTCACATTCCTTTCATCAGTACAATTTTTTTCCAAATCATTTTATAGAGGTGGATACGTGTTTCCAATGTTTAAGGATCTTCCAAGGGGGCAATTATTTGAAAGCCCATTTTGAAATTAAATATCCTTCTCTATCAGCAAACTTCTCCACTTAACTCGTTCTGAGCAGTGCCGATGCATGCAAGTTTGTTTGTTCCTTTCTATATGAATACGATTATCATTTTAAGTACATATGTATTATGTACTATCTTCTGATTGTCTCTCCAACTCATTTCTCAGCTTTTGACATGACACTATGTGTTCAGAGGCCAACCTATGCTGACTATATCAGCAGGCTCCATTACCCACTGGTTCAGCCAGTAGATAGTGCTGTAGGAGACAGCAAAACATTCTTAAGTATGAACTTTGCAAATGACAAGTTGTATCAAAATACCAATGTGTATTGTGCTCACAGGGCCAGTGAGTTCCCATACTATTCTCCTTTGTCACCTGTATTCGTCAGTATCTCCAACAGGATGCTGATTCTTAACCCTCAGTAAGATGTTGGTCTTAGGAGAGAACTAACTGACTCCAACTACCCACACTGATATTTTGACAATTAATATGGGCAAGTTTTTCAGTGTTTACAGAACTAATCGTCTACTATGAATTATACACTTCTTATATCTGGGCAAGGATTATTAAACATTCTAAGATCTTTATATTTCAGACCTGTAATTTCTGAGTGGGATGAAAGACTGATTGGTTCATACAAAACACCTTTGTCAACTTAGTTTGTTTCTGTGGGTCACATTAGATTTTGTGACTATTTCTCATAGTTTCCAGCCCATTGCATTTGCTTCCTTATGGCGATCATTTTTCTCTCACAGCTGAAACGCTCTATTTGTTGCAACCCCACACCATTCTTTGCTATATTTACACCTAGTGAGTGAAGTTATGATATACACCTCAAGTCTACCACAGGCATCCAATTTCCAGGCTGGGAAGAAAAACAATGAAGCAAAAGAGAGAAATATGACTTCAGTAAGAGAAGGAAGAAAGTGAGTTCATCCATTTGATTTTCCTCTCATGAGGGATCTGCTATGAGGGATGTGAGGGGCAACTAGAGCAAAAAAAATTAAAAAACCTAGATTATCATGCAGAGGTTCAAGGGAGAGAAGAAGGCAGATAATAAATATATTTGCTCTGCAATATAATAAGCTTAATATTTGAGAAGTCTTCTCAATGTAGGATTCCAACCAAAATGAAATTCGATAATGCTAATTTAAATTTAAGATAATGGATAAAATAACAGTACTTTCAGCCAAAGAGACAAAGTGTCATTAATAGATACTCATGGGAAGAATGACTTTAAAAAATCCACTTCAGAAAAAAATGAAATTAAGAGAATATATTGTTAGCAGGGGAATAGGTAAAAAGACTAATAAAACAGAAAACAGAGCCCATAACAAAATATTATAAGCTAGTGAATTACATAATATTATTGTAATAGCAATGTGTCTAGTGATTAGCATAACTCATGTAATATACATGCCTATCTGAGATAGCTTAAGCTACAATTTAAACTTTTTAAAGATTTTATTTATTATATATACAGTCTTCTGCCTGCATGCCAGCAGAGGGCACCAGATCTCATTCAAGGTGGTTGTGAGCCACCATGTGGTTACCGGGAATCGAACTCAGGATCTCTGGAAGAGCAGTCAGTGCTCTTAACCGCTGAGCCATCTCTCTAGCCCCTACAATTTAAAATTTTTAAGGGCATTTGGTATGTCTGTGTTTAGAATATCAAATAAGTAAACAACAAAAACCCTATAGCAACCAAGATATGGGATGCATTAAACTGACAAATAACTTATATTTATAGAATTTCAAACCAAAGTACAGTGATGATAACTAGTAGCTACTATTGAGAATAGCTAGATTGCTCCATACTGAAATACCTTCAGGCTCCACACATGACTCATGGACTGGAATATTATATAGTTCATCCCAGTCCTGTAGCATTCTGTGGCCCTCTCTGGATGAAAGGTGAGTGCATCTGCCACCTGCCTCCTTCTCTTCCATGAGATAGTATCATGGACATTTCTGAGTCACTTCCCAGGAGTTGCTGCAGCATGGGATATAACTGTCAATTATAAAACCACTTAACCCTATTCCAGAACTTTAGTGGCGTGTGTTCTATAACTTCTGTTGCAGTCTGCCAACCCCTCTTGCTGCAACATCATGGGCTTGTAAGTCAGATCAGCCACTTGGCCTCTTTAGCCACTCCCAAGTTAAAAAAAAAAGTTTGGATCTATAAATGGCTCAGGGATCTTAAGGGACTAACTCAAGTCTGAGTGACTAACTACTTAGCCTTGCCTTCTATATATCACCACTACTATTACAAATAAATATAGGTGAATCTCAAAACCACAGTGTTATACAAACCACAATTTGCAAAGGCACAATGGTTGTTGATTATTAAGCAAATAAAGTTCAAACATCTAAAAGTACAGTGCATTCTATTTTTATTTACTTGTTTGTTTGTTGCCAAGCTAAAGGTTGAACCCCCTGCCTGATACAAACTAGCTTCATGTGTAACCCACACTCCTCAGCCGAAGCAGTATGACTTTAAGAGGAAAACAAACACAGTGATGAAAATACAGATGGACCCTATGATACAGGCAGAGGATGTGCCAGGAACAAGACACTAAGGGACCTATATATAATGCTTAAGCATTCAGCTAAGTTATAAGCAAAAGTATATTATTTACTGGTCTCTTACATGAAGGTAGTTGTCTTTATTAACTAGTCATGGAAATTAGGGCAGACAAACACGGAACATATTCTTTCTAGCTACTGGGTCAGTAATTCCTGAACCAAACACACCAAAAGAAAACAGGGTTGGGAGCAGGTGTAGAGGTTCCCGCTGCCCACTCACTCTAAAGCAGAGCTGCCTGTCAGAGCCAGAGACATTTTGAAGAGCCACCCAGACACTCTAGTGAAGAACTTTGCACTCATGCCATTAAGGAAACAGCAGCTCATACTCTCCCTTGGTGAAGCACAGTTTGAGTAAGCATCACAAGTCAGCTAGACTCACATTTGAAGTTTGCATCTCATGCTCTTACTTCCCCCTTAAAAGCAAAACCCAGTGTGGCCATAATGAGACATGATGAAGAGAGACCCCACTCTATAGCCATCTTACTGGAGAAAGTTTAGAAGGGAATGGAACTAAAGCAGAGAAGGGAGGAAGCCCTGTCACCTGTGGGTGTGCCCCAAGTGTTGGATCTGTGTGAGGTGGGCTGTGGCTGTGTGGAGTTGAGTCTGGCTCCTCCCTAAAGAGAAGGCAACTTGTCTGGAAAATATTCAAAATATAAACACAGAGTTCTTGTTTCCAACTCACTTTGTGTGTCAAATATTTTAAAATTAAATTAGCTAAGGCTGAATATAATGTTAAATTTAGGTACACAGTCACACTAGCCACATATTAAGTGCTCTTTTGGCTAGTGATTTCTGTTGTGGACAAGATAGACTATCTCCTTCCCTACAGATGGTTTGCTCAAACAGTACTGACCCAGGAGTCAGGTCCAAGTCACTTTTGAAGAGGAATCACAGATAGGAATTCCTGCACTACACAGAGAGTGAGCACCTGATATTTTACTCTAAGAAAGCCCACTTCCTGTTCTTACTGTACCGTCATTCAGCACCCTAAGGGAACAGAAAATGACTTCTGCCAGTTAAAACATGAATCATTGTCATTATTTTCTCAATCATAAGCAATTTGAAAGCAGTTTAGTTCAATTGCATATCATTTCCATGGACGATGTGATTTGCTGAGCTACTAAGCACACAGCTCTCATTTCTTTGAATCCATGACCATCTGGATAATTACCTACAATCCCTTGTTGGACTTCTTAGAAACCCTTGGATGCCATTTGTATGTGCTCAGGAAAATTATATTTTAGTCACCCCTTGGAATGTCCAACTTGGCAGTTCATGCTGTTTTCAGTACCTGCTATTCAACTATTCAATTATTCAACATAGTCAGATAGTTGTCTATAAGACACATAGAGAATTAAAGGTCTGTGATATTATCAGTACAGTAGCAAAACAAACAAACAAAAAATCCTCTCTTAGCCAGCAGCAGCAGCAGCATCCACAACTAAATGTCTCATTTTCTGTCTCAAGTTATTTCCCCGAGGTTCTTCTGTGGGAGAGGGGAAAAACAGCTTTAATTGTGCAAACTGCTCCATGCCCCAAGAAAGCAGACATGAAGTGCCTGGGATGCTCAAAAGCTGTCCCTGGGGACCAGGGATTAAAACCTGGTCAGGGCAGCAAATAAAAAAATTTAAAAAGCTCTTAAAAGAACTTGACAAGGGAAGCTTAAATCTTATTTTAAAGGGTTGGGTTGTACTAAGCCTTGAAAAATTCAATCCTCCGGAGGACTATATCTCACTAAGAAAGCTCCACGTAAGTTTATCATGTAGCCAACACCTAGACATTGG